CTCAACTTTGTCCATTTTGGCTCAGTTCTTTCTCTTTCAGTAATATTACAGACCCTAATTCAGTCTCCTAAAGTACAAGCTACCCTTCCCACTTTGGTATCATCTGCAAATTTGCTGAGTATCCCCTCCACACACTCATCCAAGTAGTTGAACAACATTCGGCCTGAGACAGAACCCTATGGTATCCTGCTTGTAGTAGCTTCTTTACAGGATGATGAGGAATCATTGGTGTGCATTCTTTGGGTATGGCCCCTTCAGACACTAAAAATCCATCTAACAGTAGCATTATCTAGTCCATTTTTTAAACCAGCTTTCCTGAAAGAATATCATGTGGGACCTTATTAAAAATCTTGTTGAAATCAAGACTTTTATATCCACAGCATTCCCCTCATCTACCTAGCTTGTGACAATATCAACGAGAGAGAGAGAGAAGTAATTTGGCATGATTTGTTTTGGCAGTATTTCCATAAGTTTATTGAAATCAGATTTATTAAAGTCCAGAGTCTGAGTTATACTATTAAGCCTCCCTTTTCTCAGCAGAACAAATTCCAAGAAGGAATTCCCATTTCCACATCTTCCATCTCATTGACTGGTTGTGAAGGAAAGCAAGAGGCAAGTGAGCCATCCTCACTGACAGAACCAACATAAGAGGAAAAGGAAATCAGTAAAGGTGGAATAAAGGAGATTAATGAAACCTTAAGAGAGGAGATGAGAAAAATAGAGGTTTGTCTAGCGGAAAAGAGAGAAGGAGGAAAAGGGGAGGAACTGAAACTATTAGTCTGGGAGGAAAGTATAAATGAACAGGGGGAAAGGTATTTTTCCCCACCAAAACAGAGGAACTGCCGCAGATTTCAAAAAAACCTGATCACACTAGTTCTCCCCTGTTAGTCAGGACCAGAGGTAGGACAGCTGACCCTTTTCTCATTTCTTCCACCTTCTGGACAACTCCATATAAAAAAGAATAAAATGATAGAGAATTTCTAATTTTACTGTTGCCTGTTTGGGGAATAGTTCCATTTCAGAAACACACATGAAATAAAAATGTAGCAAAATGGCTAATGGACCATGCTGTCCATTTAATCCTCCCCTGCTCAGACCTTGATTCTACTATGAATTCATCCTAGGTGCCTTCAAGCAAGTCATTATCACTCTCAGCCTTTGATATGTAATGCAGGAGTCTTAATTGTTGTTATGTGCAATGAAGTTGAAACTGACTTATAGTGACCCTAGCAGGCATTTCAAGATAAGTGAGATATTTAAAGGGTGGTTTTAGCACTTCCATACCCCCAGTGAACTTCCATGGGTGAGTGGAGACTTGAACCCAGGAGCTCTTAGTTCTCGATACAGTATACCACACTAGGTTTCTAGAAGTCTTCATACAGGCTAGTAATGTAAGAGAAATATTCACAAGTATATCAAATAATGAGAAATATTTTGAAATGGTAATAGGGATGGCACTCTGTTTCCTGTATTTTGTATTCTCTCAGTGATTGCGGAAAGAGAGCCTCCAAAACTAAAGAGGAGTACATGAAGATCTTGGGTTTCATTCATGTTCCCCCTTTCCCGTAACCTTTCTTTCACTCTTTGTCTAATTGCCTGAGAAATTTTTCATCCAATAGCATTTTGCAATGGTCGTTTGAGCCAATCTGAATAGCCAAGAAGTGTAGAGTGGAAATTTTGGGTCTGTAAAGGACCTGGAAACCAGTGAGGAGTGCTCTTCATTTCAGTTGCTCCTCATCAGTAAGATTACTGTATTCTGATTACTATAACCCCTGATATCATCCATTTTAGATTTTTGCTTGCCTACTTGCTGTGCCTCCATCTTGGATCCTTTCTTTTTGGGCCCTCCACCCCCCTCAATTTTGGAGGGGTATTTTCCCCATTTCTTTGTATTATTTTTGCTGCTGCCACCATGCCTCTTTGAGTTATTTTTGGTATTTCCTTCCTTGAATTTTCTGGGGAATTGGGAGAGAGTGCCCTTCTTTTTCTTGGATTATTTTTGTTGCTGCCTGCCTGCTGTTGCCTGCTGGACACAAAAATAAGAAGATAAGGCATCAAATGGTCAAAGGAGAGAAATGTCTCTATATACTAGTACAGTGGGGTCTTGATTTGAGAACTTAATCCGCATTGGAAGGCGGTTCTCAAGTCAAAAAGTCTGTAGGTCAAGTCTCCATTGACCTATAGTGCATTGAAAACCGATTAATCCTGTAACAGGCCGTTTTTGTTCCATTTTGGTTTTTTTCTGGTCTGTAAGTCAATTCTCAGGCTGCAAGTCAAACCTAAATTTTGCGGCCAGAGAAGTCTGTAACTCAAAAAGTCTATAAGTCAAGCCGTCTGTAAGTCAAGGGTCCACTGTACAGTAGTTTGGGTTTAGAGGAGGGTTTTATTTTATTTTATTTTTGTCTTTATTTGCTCATTGCTTTTCTTGGGGGAAATGAAGCTGTATATGTGTTTTTCTCCCTCTGTGTGTGTGTGCATGCTTTTCCTGATTGATTTTTTTAATTATTTGGTTAATTTACTGTGTATTTATTTTGTTAAAGATGTATATTTTGATGGATGGGAGGGATGTTTTAATTTGCTTCTGTAAAGTTGTGTGAGACATAGTTGTGATAGAAGTAAATGTTTGACTTATTCAATTAAGGCAATTGCCTCATAAAAGATTGTTCTTACTTGGAAACAGGCTGTTTGGTGTGTGTGTGTGTGTATTCAGAAGAGATTAGCCAGCCTTGTAAAAACAGGCTCGACCCCCCCTTCTCCTTGCTTTCTTTCTTCACAGCCCAAGGACTCAACGCTTTCTAAAAGCTACACTGACATAAGATAAGCATGGAATGTAGAGCTAACAAGACAAAGGGACGATTTAGGGAAAGGGAATTGTTCTGCGCATGTTTAAAATGTGTTTTCACTAATCCAATGAATTGTTGCTAACTAACTTAATGACCTTTAAGGCCCACCCCTCTCGCCCTGAGGGGACAGCTATAAGATTGTACCAATTCCTTTGTTTCTTTGAAGAAACTCTAATCACCCTCAATTAAGGTGAAATGGTTTTTCTTCCCGCTATCTGCAGTGGCGTTTTTGTTTTTGTTTCATGCTAATAAAATAGAACTTTAATAGAAAAGCCTCCGTGTCTCAAGTTCTCTTATTTTTTTAAAGAGCTTTCCTCAATTAGAGAACCGGATAACAGTTGGTGGACTTTGTGACTTTGCCAGTGTGCCATTGGGCTGTGGGCATTTCCTTCTTGTTCTTGGTGTTATTTTTTAGTTGCTTTTGTGAATGGGTATCTCTGTGTGTCAGGCAGCCACTGTCTGACCTGCTGTTCCCTTGCCTTTTTTCTATTGTGCTCAGGCCCAGAGGATCTCTGCTGGGCTGGGCACATGGCACTAAACCCATACTGTTGATAAATGTAAACTACTCATAGATTTGATGGTGATTTAAATTTCTCATGCACTGTTGCCTACTTTTGAAGTAGATTAATTCTCTATTGACTTACTTCTGCTTTTTTGAAATAGGTTTAAAAGGTTCCATAGGGCTTCTGGGGTGTCAGAAAACACCAATGGGAGAACATGCAATGGCCCAAAAGAGACTTTTCCCTTTCATGTAAAATGAAAGGACCAATAAGTAAATAAAAGAAAATGAAAGAGGCACCTCTAAAAGAAACTGAAATAAAAGAATTATGAAACAATTTAACACATGCTTCTCTAGTGGTATAGAAGGGTAGAGTGTTATTATCAAACTACACTTTAAATCAGGTACTCTAGAGTCTCAAAGGTTAGGAGATTTGCTAAGATCAAATATTCAGATATAATCTTCTTGCATACACCAAGAAAGGGCTGTTGACAACCAGAATACAGTGGTGCCTCGCTTAACGATTACCTCATTAAACAACGAATCCGCTTTACAATGGTTTTTTGCAATCGCTATTGCGATCACAAAACGATGTTCCTATGGGGAAAATTCGCTTCATGACGATCGGTTCCCTGCTTCGAGAACCAATTCTTTGCATTACGACGATCTAAAAACAGCTGATTGTCGGGTTTCAAAATGGCCACCTGCTGTGCAAAATGGCTCCCCGCTGTGTTAAGGATGGATTCCTCGCTATACAGGCACCAGAAAATGGCCTCCCTATGAAGGATCTTCGCTGCACGATGAGGTATTTCACCCATTGGAACACACTGAACGGTTTTCAATGCATTTCAATGGGTTTTTTAATTTTGCTTGACGACGATTACGCTTTACAGCAATTTTAACGGAATGCATTATAGTCGTCAAGTGAGGCACCACTCTAGTGGAAGCAATAACAGCACAATGCACAATCCAGATGCTTATAATTATGCGTTATACAATCTGGCTGGCAGTTACATCTTCACAGATTAATTTTTCAACTTTCTGCTATTTTTAGTTTTTCCAACTAAAATATAAAAGGCCAAATAATAAAAACATTATCACCAACCCAAAGCAAATGTTAGTAAATACATTTCTTTTTGGATGTTTGCAATAAAAACATACTGAACTAGTATACCATCATTCTGCCCATTCTTCTCTCTTGTCCTGCAAATTAAGACAGACTGGATTTCTTATTTAGCAGTGCAATCCTTTATGTATCTACAAGTACTCCCCCAGAGTTGAACTGGGCTCATTTTCAGATAAGTGTATGTAATATTTTGGCCTGTGGTTTATTTTTCTGCATTATTGTTGGTCCTGGCTGCTTATTTCTTGGGGAAGAAGGAGGGAAAATTTAAAAAACACAAGATGTAACAATTATCCAACCATATTCTTGAAATGAGATCCACAAATGTCTACACTCATACAAGAAGTTTACATGACAGGATCAATACCATCTTAGGGATGTTCTGCAAAAGAGGATACCTGTGTAAGTATACCTTTGTGGGGGCACTACAGAAGCCCATTAGGAACATGTAAAATGATAATAAATAGATAGGAATAGAACAAAAAACACAGAACAACAAACTGTAGAGAAAGAATCTGGGGCAATGTGTACTTACACTTTTCTTCTATTAGAACTAATTTAGATTCTGAAGCAGATGAGACTTGGGATACATTTGTTCCTCCTGGGGAAATTAAGGTAGGAAATTGATGGAAAAAATTACTCTTATGGTATAGTAGAATATAATGGTGATGTTACGTACATAAGCTGAGAGAAGTATGCTTGCAGGGCAAAGGATCTCTGAAAACATTCCAAATGTATCTAGAAAACCTGGCCCCTAATTAAACCATTTAGAAAATTAGGTAAGGATATCAAGGAGTGGCTGAAATGAAGAAACATTATTATTCTTGTGGTTTAAGAGCTGAATCACTTCTGCAAGAGGACATGCAGTATAGTCCTGAAGGCTTTAGCAAAAGGAGGCAACAGAATGATTGCAGACATTCCTATGGAAAAGGGAAGAAGTAGCTCCAGATGGGTTGAGGAAATTTACAGAGGTAATTTTGGATGACTTTGTTTCCAAACTGTGAAATAAGGGGAGCCTGGCAGTCACATCTGTGAGGTCAAAGTAGCACTTGAGCATTGAAATCTGGTTGCCTTCTCTCCTACTACATGAGGAGAGAACATTAAATGCATGTGTGTGTGTTCTAAATCTTATTTTTACAACATGAATCTAATTTTCCAAAACAGGTAGAGTTTATATTTTGTATAATTAAGTTGATCCTTGGAAATGCCAAGGTAAGAGCTGCCAACAGCCACAAAAAACAGAATAGAACAAAAATAGAAGACACAATTAGCAATAATTGGCTGAAGCCTTACTGCTTGCTATAGTTAGTTGCACTAGAGCAGGTCCATTGTGTCAATGAGGATTTGTTGAGTCAACTCCTCCATAAATTCCAGTTATTCAAATGGATCTACTCTCATTTCACCTTATTATGCTAAAGTAAGTTACAACTTGAATAGGGCTATTTGAATCAATGGAACTTATAGAGGATTTTACTCACTAAACCCCCACAGAATCAGTGGGCTTACTCTAGCATAAGTTACTACACTAAGCAACAGGACTTCAGCCAATTATATAAGTATTACACGAGCTTCCTCCTCCTCCCAATGTTGTAAAGATAAAGGACAATCTTGAACCAACTGACTTTCAAAATGAAACGGCCATTGTTGGATGCCAACATGAGGCAAGTTATACGCAGTCAATGATTCTAGCGGGCCATCTTGAATTTCCACTTTCCCAATAGATTTTAAATGGCTGATAAAATGGGCAGCTCAAGATCATATTTCACATTTCTGCACTTGTCTGTCTGTGATGCTAATGTTATAAACACAAGACTATTTGTGGGAGTTAACAGCAGAAGAATGAGAAGCTAAAACCCAAGGAAGCATGCATTTCTTTTTTCCAGCAGCATCCCACTATCCCTTTTAGTGTTCACATGCTAAACAGTCCAATAAAGACACAAGCAGGGGATTTGTGTGTTGTTTGTTCTAGCACCTTACTCCTTTTTTTTCATAGAAGGTCGACATTGCTTCCACTCCAGTAAACCAGTCTGCCTTTTCTTGCTTTTTAAAATGAAAAGGTCATAACATGCATAATGGTACTGGACACAGAATGTGTCTCATGCGAAGTACATTGTGGAGCAGCCTCATAAATTGTGTTCTCACCTTCCACTCCCCACAAACATCCTATTGTCTCTTTGTTTCATTTTTCCCCTTCCCTTCACAGCAGAGCATCTCTGACTACATTTCACTCTCTGGCCAGAGAGTGAAATGTAGATCCCACCTAGATCTACCCGAGTCACTCGTTTTAGCCAGGAAAGACGGCTGAGGGGCCTAACGCCGAGAGAAGCCCGGAAAGAAAGTACAAGAAACCAGACCTTCTCGGCAGTGGCCCCTCTATGGAACATCTTGCCACCAGAGAGTGGCACCCTCGCTGGGCGTTTTTAAGTGTCATTTAAAGACCTGGCTCTTCAGGCAGGTATTCCCTCCAGTCAACATCTGATTTTCTTTTTTCTTCAGTTATTTTTCCATCTTGATCTTCTAATTTGTTGATATAATTATGTCATTGATTATATATATATATTGGTGGTTTTTATTTGATTGTATTTTATAATGTTTTATTCTTCTTTGTAAGCCGCCCCGAGTAGACTCTGTCTAGAGGGGCGGGAAATAAATAAATAAATAAATAAATAAATAAATAAATAAATAAATAAATAAATAAATAAATAATCCTTACTAGGGAGTACATTTTACTGAAATTTAAGTAAAAGTGTGTGCATGTGTGCACACACTCACACGCGTGCATGTGCGCATGCACACACTCACACGTGTGCACGTGAGTATGTGTAAGACAAGGCTGTGCAGCTGCTCCCCTCACAAAAAAAAATTCACCGGCATATCTGAATTTTAAAGATGCAGGTAATGCATCTCATATCACTGAAATCAACTATATCACTGAAATCAACTGGACCTGATTGTTCCACCTAAGCAATTGGTTTGCCAAAGTAAAAAAGATGTACATTAAGTCTAAACACTGCCCTCTCATAGTAATAGCCATTAAGAGAGCTTACCTCCATTAATTTCATTCTTTTAAAAACCATTTAAACAAGTAGCTCTACCATTTTCTCAGTGCTACAACAGCAGAGCGTTCTAGATCTGAGTTTCTTTACATCAGCTGTGTTTAGGTATCTGCAATAATTTTCCCCACTGTTTCATTGCCATTAATCTGCTGCACATTTTTGTACTGCTGTATTCAGAATTCTGAAAACACACATTCCAACTGAATGAAGGGGCTGATAAGGGGGTGAAACCCACTTTCTGTCTTTGGCCTCTTGATGGGCAAAGTTTATGGATTGTAACAATATACTCGTGCAGCCTTCTTCTAGGTGTCAGTAATTGTTTTTACCTCTAATAATGTCCTGGAATTATGCTACATTGGTACGTAGCAGAATGCCAAGGCATTATTGGAAGATAAATGGTAACTGCCAGTCTGAGGAGCCAAGAAGAGCATCAGTAAGTTCAATGTTTCTCTACCTTTAAAACTGCCCCTCTCCGTAGCAGAACTATCTAGCCCCCCACTCCCTAGCATCTCTGAATGCTGCCACATAATGGGGGAGGTCATTTTGCTGAACCTGGCTGTTGTTCCATTGCTTCACTGTGACTACCTTTTCAAGATGACTAACCAGCTGGATAAGGAGGAGATTTAAAAAAGAGGAAATGAATAATGCCTCTGTCCCTCAGTGCAGATGACACATTAGCTATAATTGAGAACCTGTCACTGAAGGACTTGCTTGGGCAACCATTGGAGGACGATTCTCAAGATATTTTTGGCCATCCAAAGAGTGATGTCCTTGTGCTTATGCTGAACAATGTGCTTGAGGATGGGTAGTTTTTGCTTAGCTTCTGGTTCACAAACAGAAAAGCATCGCAACAGTTCAATTCCACAATCCATGTAGTGCATTGTGTAATGATGCACTGCAGAAAGAACAACTCCTGGCGTTGTGATCAGCTCCTACTCTCATTGGTTTTAGGAGGCAAATGAAAATGCATATTTTCAACCTGGCCTTCTAAATTCTTTTCATTAGGGTGGGTGTACTAGTTATATGGTTCTTAATCATGCTTGCTGGGTGCCATGAGTATGTGTAAGACAAATGTGGAACAAAATTGTAATAATAATAAATAAAAATAAATATATATGATCCTAAAACTAATGGCAATCAAATATTTCCTACATTTTGCCAAGCCTTTTCCAGTAACACATTCCTCCACAACTTTTGTGATGGAAGATGACACTAGCACGTACTCTTTAATGTTACCTGTGAATGCCTGCACTCAGTCTGGCAAAAATGGCAGGCCAGTTGCCAAAAGGCATGGCACGTGCACCCAAATACTGATAAATGGACATCCCACCATATTCATATGTTGAGGGGCAAGGATTTCTGGCAGTGACAGCTGGTGTCTTGTGGGTCTGGTGGAACAGTACAATCAGCCAGAGGTGGAGCCAAAAGGAGGAAAGGTTGTCAGAGGCAAAGCCAACTGTATTTTCTCAATCCTTGTTTTCCCCTCCAATGCCTTAATGGACACATAAAGAATGTGTGATGCATTGTAATTATCAGGTAAAAATTATGGCATTTTGACAAACTGCATATTTGATCTGAAATCAATTAAAAGATTTGAGGACTGGTGTCATCTGTACTAAACAAGAAGGAAAGAGAAGGCTTCCCAGTGGAAAGCAAAGGTGGCCATTGTTTTCAATAACTAACAATCCAAGATTTTTATAAGGGCAACATCTTTACTAAACCAACTTGAATGTCATCAAATAGTTTTTCAGTTCTTCAGAACACTTACTTGGGTTAATTGGTTAACCAAGCGATCTGCCAACATCCTCTCCACCCCCCTAAGCAATGCTTTGGCAGCATAACTCTGGAGAGAGATGACAGGACTGATGTACGAAGGTCATTAAAAAAGATTGCTGGGGTTTAGAAATGGAAAACTCAACAGTGGCCAGAGGATTGGAAAAGATCAGTCTACATCCCAATCCCAAAGAAAGGCAGTGCCAAAGAATGCTCCAACTACCGTACAATTGCACTCATTTCGCACGCTAGCAAGGTTATGCTCAAAATCCTACAAGGTAGGCTTCAGCAGTATGTGGACCGAGAACTCCCAGAAGTACAAGCTGGATGCCGAAGAGGCAGAGGAACTCGAGACCAAATTGCTAACTTGCGCTGGATTATGGAGAAAGCCAGAGAGCTCCAGAAAAATATCTACTTCTGCTTCATTGACTAGGCGAAAGCCTTTGACTGTGTGGACCACAGCAAACTATGGCAAGTCCTTAAAGAAATGGGAGTGCCTTGTATTCAGAATTCTGAAAACACACATTCCAACTGAATGAAGGGGCTGATAAGGGGGTGAAACCCACTTTCTGTCTTTGGCCTCTTGATGGGCAAAGTTTATGGATTGTAACAATATACTCGTGCAGCCTTCTTCTAGGTGTCAGTAATTGTTTTTACCTCTAATAATGTCCTGGAATTATGCTACATTGGTACGTAGCAGAATGCCAAGGCATTATTGGAAGATAAATGGTAACTGCCAGTCTGAGGAGCCAAGAAGAGCATCAGTAAGTTC